TGCATGTGTTCGCGTTCCGCTACCCACTTTCAACTCAGCAACCAGAGAAGCTAATAAGCTGCAACAACTTTTGGAGCATGTTCCCACTCCATGTGCGACCGTCCCGTTTTAATATTATCATTCACGTACGCTTGGGCCAATACGGAAATGTCACAGCTAAATAAATGAATATGAAAAATCGCAAAGTAAGGACGTTTTGAGTCAGGGATGCACGATCTACGAAAAAAGCATTACAGTTAATGCAAGAAGCTAGGTTCTCCAGTTAGCTGCTGAGGCAGCCACAGTTATAGATGTGTGTTGATAAGCGTAAAATGCGGAAGCGCGGGCCCGTAATGACCTGGCACATCACTAAAATGGGGCTAGCGGCTTTCGGTTCCCTTTGTGAATAAATGGATTTCGTGAAGCACTTTCTCTGGAACTGGCTACATCTCTGTTGCAAAACCATACATGAAAAAAAAAGCGGTTAAGCCACGTTTGACAGCCACGTAAAAAAGTGCGTCATCATAAGACTCGCTGCTAGACAGGTACACAGTGATATCTTAGTAAAACTGTGCGGATCAGACAACAAAGCCGGTACCTTGCACTATTCACTAATCATTTTCTGTTTCCAAAGTAAAGGAAGAACGAGTGCGGATAAGGGAGGGTTCGGCGAAAGATGAGGCTTTGCGTCTTCCTAATTCCTTTCAAGGATCAGATAATTGCAGCGGTAAATGAATATCTCCTTGTGCACATCCTGCGCTGTTTGCTGCAAGAAGGGCGTTGAAGCGTAAAAATAAAAGGGATCCGGCAAGGCGCATTCTTTTCAACGATGTTTCAAGCTGCTGCTTGAGAATTTCATCGACACGTAGGGAACATCGGGTCACGTCGAAGCGTGTAGTGCTACAACATATCGAAGCAGTACGTACGAGCAACGTCACGCCAGCATCCTAACCACTGCAAAAGCAGCAGGCATGCAGTTGCGTTCATTAGCTTATTTAGTGCCAAATAAGCACTTCCCCCCTCCGGAAATCGACCGTGCACCTAAATTACATTGAAAAAACTCTCCAAAACATTGATTCGGGGAGCACAAGCAATCGTTCATTTGTTTTTTGCTTCATTTTACGCCTAAGCAAATGCTCCCCCCTCCCATCCATCCTCCATCCCGAGGTTACATTCGCTAAGTGAACGAAGAGCAGAGCATCCAAGCTTTTTACTTCCCACTTCTGCTTCTGTGTGCATTAGTGGCGAATAGACAAATCACAGTTTTTATGCGCTTTCGGATAAAATGAGAAAGCATAATGGCAAGCTCATGTGCCTCTGTGTGTGTGTATGTGTGTGCGTGT